GGGTTTGGGGGCTCGACCCTATTAAGCTGGCATTTCAGGGTACTATTTCATATATATATAAGGAAAATTTGAAAGTTAGGGGGGGGCTCGAGCACCCCCCTGCCCCTACCTGGCTACGCCCATGCATCCATGCATACAATCAATGTAGGTATCATAATGTATGTAGTAGATAATTTGCATTAAGGTAATTACGCGCACCACTTACCGCAATAAACACAAACAAACCTGAGCCTCGAACTCCATAAAACACACGTGTGCTTAGTCGAATAAAAAATATGACCGTTTAAAATCGGAAAGCGTAATCATAAGTAAAACAATTTAAATCAGAATTCAATCGTTTTTTTACAATTTTTTTTTTAATTTCGCTCAAAATTATTATTGAGATTTATTTTTCGCTAAACAGAAAATTGTGTTTGAGATTTTTATTGTTCCACAACTTGTACGATGAGGAATGTCACGAAACTGCAGAGAAAAAGACATCGCCTATGGGGCCATGCTACGATCGGGCGAAACGCGCGCTATGTGGGATCGATAAAGGGAGTTGAAGAGGGAAGCGAGATGAATTTACCGCAATTAGAAGAGAGAGGCTGAAATACGTGAGTGCGAAGAGCTTAAAATGCTGGCCGACAGGAAAAATGCCGAAAATTTTATCAGAGAGTTAAGCGCCTTACGGAAGGCGTCAAGACCAGGGCGTACCCTGTAAGAGCAACAATGGCGACCTAGTTACCGATGTTTAGAACGTACTTAAATTGTGGGGGCAACACTTTTCCGCCCTACTGAATCATGAAAAAACATTAGAAGGTAAAATCATTCTTTCAATTCGTCGGCCACGCTTTTTTTTCATTTTAAAATCATATAAAATTTGAAATAAAAAACAAATTGTTAACAATTAATTGTTGTTCGAGATTAAAAATGAGAATGTGTGTGTGAGCTTGAGTTCGAATTTTAAAATTATATTGCTGGCAAACGTCAGACTGCCTCTCAGTGATTTTACCTTGTAATGTTTTTATCATGCTACTGAATGATAGCAGCAGGTTGTGGATAAGAAGAACCCGAGCCCGCAGTCGATGACGACGGAGTCGACGTTCCACCGCCTGACTATGACGAGGTACGAATAGCAATAACGCGGCTGAACAAAAACAAAGCTGCTAGAGCTGACAGTCTGCCAGCCGAGCTATTCAATTACGAGGCGAGGAGTTGATAAGATGCATGCATCATCTCGTATTCAGAATATGGTCAGATGAACACATGCCCGACGACTGGAATTTAAGTGTGCTCTGCCCAATCCACAAGAAAGGCGACCCCACCATTCGCGCCAACTACCTCGGGATCAGCCTTCTAAGCATTGGTTAGGAGGTCTTATCGAGCGTAATGTGTGAAAGACTGAAGCCCACCGTCAGTGACCTGATTGGGCCTTATCAATGTGGCTTTTGGCCTGGAAAATCCACCATAGACCAGGTATTCACAATACGCCAAAGCTTGGAAAAGAGCCGCGAGAAAAGTATCGACACTTCCCACCTATTTGTTGACTTTAAAGTCGCTTTCGACAGCACTAAAAGGAGTTGCCTATACGCCGCTATGTCTGAGTTTGCGTCCCCGCCAAACTGATACGGCTGTGTAAAATGACGTTGAGCAATACCACCAGCTCCGACAGAATTGGGAAAGACCTCTTCGAGCAGTTCGCCACCAAACGGGGTTTCAAACAGGGCGTGCAATTGCTGGCTTATGTCGATGACATCGACATCATCGGTAACAAATACCGCGAAGTCTGTTCTGCCTTTTTTGGCTTAATACATATCTGAACACAGCCTCTAGTTTGTTGCTCTCTTTCTACCAACTTCATAAGTAGAAGTAAAAGTAATTTTGCATTTGTTGATGTATTTTCTATTCATTTATGTATTTTTCTACTTATTGTACCGTAGCTCGAACTGAAACGACCCAAAAGTGGCATGTTCCACAATCAAACTCAACCGCCTCTACCACCATTAGACGAAGACGTAATTCCATATAGCAACTACAATCCACGGATACTACAACAGAAATTCGATGCTCAGAATTTGCGTACGATTGATTTGATACAAGGTCGTGATCCCAACGATCTATGGACCTGGAACATAGGACTGCAGCAACATGAAAGCCAATTAGATCAGGCTTTTCTTGAAGCCTCCATGCCGAAGTTCGGTAAGTAAGCGTCCTCATTGTGGACCATGACAGAGAGATGCCGCAATGTTAAAAAAAAAATAAAAAAATGTAGATTGCAGACACTTAGAGCTGACAACATTCAAAATACCCAATGATCTGGATAAAACTTTCACCGCAGAAATCGTATTTGGCACTGAAGCTATTCAACCGGATGAAAAGCCACAAAAGCAAAAAGCAAGGTAGGATATGCGCATTTTTTTTTCAACCAACCCTTTCCAAATATTTTTATGCTCGTAGTTATTTCAACCGTCCAAAGGAAATCGCTTGCCTATTCTCCGCTTATGTTGAGAGTTTTCGTTTTAATCCCGATTTCTGGACTTCAGACACTTTAGATGGCATTTTGACTACTGGTGCAAAGCTGTTAAAAAAGAGCACTAATCTCAATTATAAATCTCCAGACAATGACTTCGACATTATACCACAAATTGCTGAGAAGCAGGCGGAAGTTGGCTTAAAGCTTCACTTCACCGGACCAATCGACTCCGAACCAAATATTTACAAAGTACTTTCACTCTATTTCATGAAATACAATGCTGCAGTACTAACCGCCAAAGATATTTACATGCTAATATGGAAACGTTGTGCTAATACTTTCTATATATTTGATCCATATGGCCGTGATGAGTTGTGCCAACGCGACTTTGCCAATGGCAAATGCTCACTGATGGCCATTACTTTTGTTGAGCATTTGGTGCATTTGATTATGAACTTCAGCAAGACCGATGTGAAAGGCGAGATAAGCTTGTATGAAATATCGATAAAAAATTTCGGAAAGATAACAAGTCCCATTCAGAATAAACCGTTCCCGAAGCGCACCCACAGGCTGTGGGCAGTAGTGAACGGTACTTATGCACTCATACCGGCAGCTAATAATGGTCTTCAACAGCCGATAACCGGTAATGAGCTGAACGGTTCTATGATAATTTCACTTCTAGCACTGTTATATTCCAATATAGAGCGAGCTTCTACATGGCGCATGGAAGTAATTGATGAGCTTGTCAAATTTGGAAAAGCTTTCTATAAGAACTTATTGAAACGTTTAAAGCTGAAGAAGAAGCAGCATTTAAACATAGTGGATCTACCGGATGTTATGATGCTTGGTGCATTCCGAGCAACCATAAAGAAGCATCCATTTCTTTACACAGGACATGTGACTAACTGCAAGTCGTACCTCGAATCTCAGCTAACGTCTGCTGTTCGCGACCTTTTCGCAAGCAATTACGATGCGGCCCTGTTGCAGATTGATAATTCTGTGTTGGCCGTTTGGCGAGACTTGGAATACTACTATGTTTTCGATCCTTTTAGACGTGGCAAAGCAGGCCAGGTACTAGACCCAGAAGATTTCCTAACAAAAGGAGTGGCATGTCTGCAGATGCACTCAAATGTTGAGTCTTTGTGTAGGACACTCTTTCAAAAGGCGCTGAAAATGCGGCGTGGCGGCAAATTTTTCGTCCATGCTATAAATATCGGCTGTATAAGACCGATGCTGTCATCGGCAAATATAAAAAATAAATATCCACGTTTACAGATAGCCTATCCAAAAGTCCTAAGCAAGGCGGAGCAGGATAGACGCCAGTCCAAAAAAGGCAAGGGTAAGAAGAAACTGGGACGCACTTACAGTATACAGTCTATACCAGATGAAGATCGCATACCCGAGTTCGAGGACGCCGATGTGGTCGGTGCTGTATTGGATGAAATTATATGCGAAGCCATCGAACGCATGACAGAGCCCGCTCCCAGCCGTATGCACTTGTACAAGCAAGCAGATAAGGTGCTGCTACGTTCCGACAAAGAGTATTTGGAGGGTCTGCGTTATAAGCTGATCCACGGTGAAGACTATGACAATGTCTATACAGAATTTCAGAAACAGCCAGAGCCTCCACAGCGTCCATTGACACTAGAAGAAGAGCTGGAGATACGCACTAACTTTGAGATGCTGCCTGACAGAACGTGGGTTGTGTTAGGAAAATCGTATATACCCTTGGAGGAGGACGAATCCAGCAAATTGAATGGTCTACTCTCCACTTTGGTAGCTACTGCACTAAGTGCGAAGTATAATATTTCTACATGGAACAAGGAACTCGTTGATTACGCAGTGAAGTCATCTAATAACTTTGGCGAAGAATTCTCTAACTACGAGTCGACACTGAGTGCTTTTCTCTCGAAGAAGATGCCGAAGATAACAATTGGTGAAAACATTTATATGCTGCAATTGCAGCGGATTATACAAAGTTCGGTGACGCGTAATCTGCGACAAATGCTGCTGGAAAGTCTGATAACATACACTCGTTTGATTGTCATATGCCAGATGTTCTCATGCCTGATTGTAAAGCGGTACAACTTCTTGTACATGTTCATCGGTTTTCCATGTACGCCAGTAGGTTATCGCAAATTCGGTTCAGGTCCTGGTTGTTTGCTAAGGTTCGTAGAGCTCGATTCTCTTTTACGACGCATAGAGTTCGGTTGCAATCCGCAAGGTTGCGAAATAACCAATTATGTGGCGGTAGCCATAAAAGTCTTGGACGTGACGAACGTGCCACCTGAACGATATAGAAAATGGCCACCAGATGTTGAGGAAGCCATATACGCGACTGAGTTTGATCGCAAGCAAAAAATTGATAGATTACGTATGGATAAGATTCGCTTCCTCGACAGGGAACTGCGCAAAGAGAATGAACGTATACAGCGCTTCCTCGAGGAAAAAGAGCAGAGAATAGCAGCACGCTCACAGAGAAGCAAACCGAAAGGTACGTACTACGATTTACTGTATGTGCGTGGGCGTAGCCAGGTAGGGGAAGGGGGGTGATCGAGTACCCTGAAATACCAGCTTAATAGGGTTGATCAAAACCAAAAGTGTTAAAGTTTCACGGCCAAATTACTCCTCCAAAGTATAATCAATAAATTGGCTAATCTCTAAAGTATTTAAAACTACGATTGCCCTACCGGTGATCGTAGTAAGATGTTCTTACTTACTAGGAAACATCAGTAATTTTAGATAGAAAGCTAGTGCGTAAGATAAAATATTAGAACCTTAGACTTCGCTTCTTACCACGCAGATCATTGCGTCTCCCGCATGGCTCCAAGTATATTTTCACCAGTAATTTTTCACATGGTGTGAATCTGTCAAAATCAGCAGTCGAAGGGAGGCCAGTAATATACCGATTTTTCACGAAAGGGTCGAAGCTTGACCAAACAGTCAGCTCACCATCAACCATAAAGTTAGGTTTTCAAATTCGTGTAATATATCTCAAGTAGAGGTGGCTGCCCTCAAAGAAGTAGTCGATACGGCGCTCCTGTGTGAGGCTCATGACGGCTCAGCGAGCTTTGGGTGAACTCTTTCTGTTCTAGAGACGATCAGAGGCGGCCATGGGCAGGTCATTATCGCAAGATTATAAATTTCATCCAGTCCAACTAAATACTTTCTTCCTGGCTATAAAGCCTTCGTGAGGCTGAAAATCAATCTTTTGGCTCGCAATTCAGCACTAACTCTGAGGAACTCTCTGGGACTGATTTTAAAGCTTCTGAAATGCCCAAGAACGCCTTCAAACTCGAGGCATCCTTCTCAACTAATTTAGCTTGTAGTTGTTTTTTATGAAAGATTTAGAAACCATTAAAATTCTTTTTTATCGTAGTCTCATTACATCCGTCTCAAAAATGTACCATCTGAGTCTGGCGAAGGCCAGCGGCAGAGAAAATTCGCTGTACTATCCTCATACTCCAAACAAGATGTACACAGTGGATCTTCGATGGTGCATATGGTGACCATATGTCGTCCCCATGTATTGTACCCCGTAATCAGTCCTATCAGGGCTCGTAAGATCACTCCTTCTGAGAAGGAATTTTTCTAGCACCCTTTCAGGAAACACTTCCGACACGATCTTCAAAAGCGACACAATTCTAAATTAACGTTCGTCAGGAATTCGGAAAACTATTTCGCAGCACATGCTAATCATATGTGCAAGAGAGACTTTACTTTCGGTTTTTTTAACCAAAAAAAAGGTAAATAAAAGCTCTGTGTACGTTTTAGTGCATAATTTCAAAAATGCCAAATTTAGAGTTGTGTCACTTTTNCTCTAAATTACACGTTCGTCAGGAATTCGGAAAACTATTTCGCAGCACATGCTAATCATATGTGCAAGAGAGACTTTACTTTAGGTTTTTTAACCAAAAAAAGGTAAATAAAAGCTCTGTGTACGTTTTAGTGCATAATTTCAAAAATGCCAAATTTAGAGTTGTGTCACTTTTGAAGATCATATGCGACTTGGTTATTTTTTTGGTTTTTTTGTTTATGAGATCCTTGATGTACCCGATCGTTCCCGATTGGACGCTGCAGAGAACCGCAGTTCGCCAATTCATCAGCCAGTTCGTTACCTTGAACACGGTAGTGTCCTGGCACCCACACAAATTCAACATTCCTGGACCATCTTGGAAGACGAGCGAGCGATTTCCAAGGACTTTAGAGCAGCTTGGCAGTCACTGCAGATCCTGATTTTATGTCCGTGTCATCTTTCGCCAATTATCCAGTCTGCCAAAGCAGTAAAGCATCTAAAGTTACCGTCCACATGCCATCCAGCTCCAGTACCGTTTTCAGCCTCTGAGCCGCCGGTATAGAAAGTGTCTGGATCTCCCTTTTTAGGGAATCTAACGACGTATTTTATTCCAAAGGAGACTTCTGGCATCAGTTTGTTATTATGTGCCAAAAACAAGGGGTATTGCTCTGGCAACGTTCTCATCAACTTTCTGTGCCCAGAACTCCGATCGGCCTGCCACACACCAAAAGAGTGCAGTCGAAAAATCGTTTTCATTGCCTCCTCTTGGATCGCTAAATATTTACAGAGGCGGCAAATTCAACAAACCATTCAGCGCCGGTACTGACGTTGTACTCATGCCCGTACGTAACTATTGGCCTGACTAAAACTATGTCAGGTCTTACTAACGATTCTTCGATACTGTCTGAAAACTTTCAGCGCTCGATTTAAATTCAGCTCGACGTGAGTTTTCCACGTTAGCTTCGTGTCTACAGCTACCCCTAGTTATATCACATCCACGGAAAGGCTTTGGTTTACGCCTCTAAGCCCTGGAAGGTTTAGACCTTTCAATTTTCTTTTCCGCGTAAACAAGACTACGGTTTTCTTACTACTTGGCATACTATGCGTCGAGTTGTAAGCGATTTAAAGAAACGGGTTTGGAGGGACTGACTTTTGAAAAATCTAAATCATTTATCTTAAATTAGTTTCTTTAAAATATTGTTTGGTTAATTTGTTAAACTAAATTTTTCTGTCCTTCTGTGTAAAATAGGTAAGAAAATGGTCAGATTGAAACTTTCCACCGAATATACAGATGTAGAAGATGAGTTCGAAGATTTCGAAATGGAAGAAATGGAAGAGGACGAAGTAGAACTAAAGCATAAGCCGGGCAAGCAACTTCAGCGCGAGGCCGATTCCAGTTTCAAGCCACGTAAAATCTTATATGGCTACCGCATGCGCGAGAAAGACTGCAACTTCAAAATCCAAGGTACAACTGCATTGGAAGATCGTGCTGCCGCGCATGTGGACAAGATCAAGCCCTGTTTCTTCGCCAGTACTTTGGCTGTGTTGTATGCTATCCTGCGACCCCTCAACCAATGGTCCGCGCAGCGTGTGGATCGAGTAATCGAGAGTGGTAGAACTATCGCAAGTCGTGTTACGAATATGACGTCGGCCTTTGAGCGGTTTATCAAGAATGTCACTGTAGATGATTACAAATTCGATGTGTGGGTTAAGAGACATGATCCAGCAGGTGTGGCCAGTGCGAGTGTCTCCCATAAGATTGCAAAGTCTATGCAAACTCGCAAGTATTTGCTGCTACAAGTTTCCAATACAACATTCGCACTCTTTCACGATGAATATTATCACTTATTCGATCCATATCCGACCATGCAGAAACCCCAAGAGGGTGAGGAGGAGGAAGAAGACGCAGATGGGGACTATGTTGAAAAGGAAGGTCCACGCAAAGGCAAATGTAAGAAAGGCGTGAAGAGATATGGTGAACGTAATACTGCCTCTTGGGTGCTCTTTGCCGATGTTAATTCCCTGCTGAAATATGTCGATAAACGCGCAGCTAATTCATCCTGGCAAACGGCGGAAGAGTATGCACTGCACGTTATTGATGTGATATCGTACAGAAAGGCGGGACCAAAGACACGCACACTGCAGTTGCTCACCGATTTGTCGGTACCGATTGAATGCAAGACAACGCAGCATGGCGAGGATGAGGCAGTTATGTGTGCTCATCCGGAAACTATGACTTGGTTAGATCTGGAGAATTGCTTGCCTGTCTGGAGCCGCATGAACCGTCGCAACACAGCAGGTCGCTACCGCAATTTGCCAGTAACGAAGTTGAAGCGATTCGATATAGAGATTGATGGTCGCCTGTGGTCAATTTGGGGCAACCTGCATCCCGATGCGCCAGTATTTAGCGCATCATCACGTGGAAAGCAATACCTTGCATGTAATGTTATGGCCTGTTGTGCTGCAAACGTGTACAGACTGACCGATTGGAGTCCGCATTTACTCGATACGATAGTAATTAACGGCGATCGTTACCACCGCGAGAGCTTGGAAAACATAAAATTGTCCGACTACGAATTTTCGTTGGAGGATTTGAATCTGGATTGTACACTGGAGAGCCTCAAATTCGTTGTGCATCTGGAACATGTCGCTTTCGGAAAACTCTACAATCCAGGCACCCGCACTACGATGAATTTGGCCGATGCATTGATGTACTTTTTCACACACTTCCAATTTGGGGTTCTGCAGTGCTTTAAGCATTCCCTGGCTATTGGTCGCACGATGGGCTTCGACGGAGGCTTCTTTATGTACGATTGCCAAAGCAAAGATCATCCACTATTCCCGAAGGGACAAGGTGCTTCGTATTTGCTGCGTACCAAACATTTGCAGGTGCTGCTTTACTGCATCGTGGTGACGCTCAATGTACCCTATTATAATGTAAGTTTTACTCTGCACAAAGTGGAAATGCTGCGCGAGGACGCCTCTTTGGATGAAGAGGGTGAGGCCGGAAGTCAGAACACTGGTGGTAATTAAAGTATTGTAGTAAAATATTTATATCTATATTTTTAAATGCAAAATTATTGTTGCTATGAATTAATATTTGGTGTAAAATAAATTAATCGACGCAATAAATTACAAACATGCACTGTAATAAAGTCTAGTAAATACAATAAATAAATAGTTCCGATATAATATATTTTTCCCGAGTTGAGTTAATAAAACAAAAATTACCATTTAGTAAGCAAATATGTAAATGTATATGAACTTTTTTATTAGTTTAAGAAAAATAAATGAATACACTGGGCCTGAATCTCGGCATTCGATATCGAATGTAACTCAAATCGAAATTTGATTTTGAGATCAAGGGCTTCGCCCGTTCAAATTGTATTGTGGCTGCCATTTTGTTTCATTATATACGAAGCGAGTAATCACTCGATCACGAATGCCGCGATTCGGGCCCAGTTTTGGTTTGAATTGAATGGAATAGCTACGAACGTAGCGCATACTTAGAATACACACGTTCGCAGCAATTGGGATTCAGTGATCGCATTTTCGTAGATTTTACAAAAAATCGGACTAAGGTTAAGAGGTGAGTTAAGTTGCAAGAATTTGTACATGGGTTACATGGTGTTGCCGTTGAGAATTTTCGGAAAGTCTCAAAAAAGGGGTCATTGATGAAAAAAAGGGTCACCATATTATTTTTGCTTTTCTTTACTAGTAGAAGGGTAAATCTGTTGAATTAAAAAAAAATAGCGGGATAAGCTTTACACATAAATCTAAGTAGTTGCGGAATGAAATACGGAAAATTTTGGATATGCAGTTTTATAATAGATTGGCGCTTACACATATGTTAGTGTTTGGCCGAGCTTCTCCCCCAAATTGTGGCGTGCGCCTTGAAGTTATCCCACCAAGCGGAGGGACCTACAGTTTTACGCCGACTCCGAAAGCCTATTGTATTTTTATGAGAAGCTGGTTTTCGTTGTTTCGTTTATTTTAAATCTTTTGGCATTAACCTTTTGTTTTAGAATTACGGTTATTTTATTGCTAAATGGGAAGAGAATAAACAATAATCTTCCGATTAAAAAGAATGGCTTAATATGGCACCTAATGGCCGAGGATAGTTGGCAGCCCTGGCTGTTGCTGTCTGCACCATAAACTCCGCCATACGAATTTGTATAATTGATCGCTATTAGCGATTTTAATCGGATCGCGCCACGCGAATCCCCTAGGCCATGAACCTGGACTAAATCAGGGACGGCTGAAAGGTAGCCAGCGGACATAGCTTTTTTAAAATCTCCCTGGAAAACAGATTCAGCTCTCAACTTCCTCTCCTGTTCTCAGNTGCTTGAACTGCTGGCTGCACCTATGCCGTAAGGCTGCTGCCCTGGTTGCAGATATTCTGTTTGAGTTGGCAATTCGCGCAGTTCCTGTTTCTCAATGGTGGTCACAATGCGTTCCTCCATACGGGTATTTGGCAACCTATCACTCGGCTGCATCATTGTTGCTCTAGCTGTGCTACTTGGCATCATCGTTTTTGGAGGTATGTAGTGATTGGTCAAATGTGAGACATCTGCCATGGTTATGCCGAAGGCCGCGCAGGCTGCAAGCGCCAAAGTGGTAAAATGCTGTAAAAAATTCCATATTTAAAATATTTCAATAACTATTTGGTTTTCGTATTTAATTATAATAGCTTGGCATTTGATGGCACCTGCAATACTAACCATCTTCTCTGTTGTTGTTGTGGTTGTGTCTGTGCTTCTTCTTAAAGTACCGTTCGATTGTGCGTGCGGTTTGTGCGTTAGCTGTTTTGGCGAAGTGCGCCTCTAAAATGACGATTCAATTGTGATTGCAATCCGCTAACGAGCACTTGCTTTTTATATTAAAGAGTTGGTAACAAGTAGACCTTGAGGAGTTACATATAAATATTTTCGAGTATGACGAAGAAGAGTGTAGACGCTCATAGCGGTTTTCAATAGGTCTTGTGATCGATTTTTCTTCTTTTTCTTTTTGCAAGTGGAAGAGTTCATCGCACTATTTTGGCTGCACATTTGGCCATTTGGCTTGTTATAAAAAACAGAAGATCGGCGTGTAATAAAGACTTTCGGAAGTACTTTAATTGTATAGATACATATTTATCCATGCATATGTATATTTAGCGGTATCTGCACAAATCGTAAGTGTACTTTGGNGAGAAGATCGGCGTGTAATAAAGACTTTCGGAAGTACTTTAATTGTATAGATACATATTTATATATGCATATGTATATTTAGCGGTATCTGCACAAATCGTAAGTGTACTTTGGTACTAGTAATTTGAGATGATAGCATTGAAAAATGTACTTACTATATACATTAATGTCGCTCATTTATGTACTAAATAATCGAGTGTCACAACTCAAAAGACGAAATTTTTTTAAATAATGCAGAGTTACTCGCTACATAATGCTTCATATTGTGTAAAAGTGTTGTGGTAAAATCTAGAGTAGTTTTATTTTTTGCATTTTGGAAGCAAATTGAAAACTTTAAACGCATCCCTTAAAANCTCAAAAGACGAAATTTTTTTAAATAATGCAGAGTTACTCGCTACATAATGCTTCATATTGTGTAAAAGTGTTGTGGTAAAATCTAGAGTAGTTTTATTTTTTGCATTNGACGAAATTTTTTAAATAATGCAAGTTACTCGCTACATAATGCTTCATATTGTGTAAAAGTGTTGTGGTAAAATCTAGAGTAGTTTTATTTTTTGCATTTTGGAAGCAAATTGAAAACTTTAAACGCATCCCTTAAAAAATGTAGGTTTTTAAATATTGACAGTCTTTTAGTAGATACCATGCAAACTCAAGTTCCCGAAATCTTAATGAAATCGTTAGGAGTATCTCATTGCTGTAACGATTTTTTTTACGAATTTTCAAAGAAATCAAAGAAAAATCTCCAAGAAATTCTTCACATAGCAGCAATGCTTTACCGATTTTCTTCCGAAATTTCGTTGAAGCATTGAAAAGCACGCAGTTTATTTCATTTTAGAAAATCCGGTGAAAAATCGGATGAGATCTTTACGAATTCTTTAAAATTTCTCTACAATTCAGAGTACTCTGAAAAACTGGTTTGCAGGGAACGTGTGTAGTAGGGTGTTCGTTTATTCGCCTTTTTTACAAAACTGGTTTTCGAGTTATTCGAACAATTGCAATAATGGTGATTTCGTTTCTTCCAGAGAATCTGCCTTTTTGCCTTAAAAGAGTGCGACATTTTAAGAAACGAACCCAAAATTTTCTCACCGTTCGCCTTTATTTTAGAATCGTACACAAAAAGTGAAAGGGACAACCAAAAGGCGACATTTTTTGGTAGAAACGAAATCATCATAAAAAACCGGATAAACCGGTTTTCTTGTACGTAGTTTCCATACAGTGAAAATGCTTATGTTGTTATGAAGTCCTGACCAAAAGTTACAATGAAATTATTAACAATAATAAATATAGCTTTTATTTAAAAAAGGATAAAACCAAATAAGCTAAATTTAAAAAAGTGTTTTCAAATAGCAGTCGCCCCTCGGCAGACAATGGCAATCCTCTCAGTGTACTGTACAGTTTGTGTGTACAGCCTTCTGCAATAAAAAAGCTTCTTGGGAGGTGAAGTAAAAGTAAGTCAAACATGTAGAAGACGTTTAAGCGGCAAACATTCATTTATTAGAATCAAATATCATATACTGTTCATACCCAAATAAAATAGGATATATGTAATTTTAAAACTATCTAGTGGTTTTCCTTAAACTGGAAAAAGCTTTAAAAACCTCAAAACTTTTATTTAGAGATCAAGATTTGTATAAAACGAAAAAAACCGGTTTGTCCGATAAAAAAATCCGGTTTATTCGATATTTGGAAAACCAAGATTTCAAAAAATCGCCTAAAGATATAAAAAAAACTGGTGGTTAGTACCAGAAGAATACCCATCAAAATGAAAACTTCATCGAGCTGAGTCGCTTTAGTCGAATCCGTCTATCTGTTTGAACGACTGAAATTTGGTAGAATTTTTTTAATAATGTATTACTTATTTGACGGAACCGACAAAATCGGAATACTATTACATATAGCTCCCATTTATGGAGAATATGAAATTTCGCGCTATTCTCACTTATTATCTACGGAAAGCTTAAGGCGAAAATGACGAAGATCGGCTCACTATAACCTAGAGCCTCCATGCAATTGATTGTTAAGATATTTGGGGCTTTACTTTAAAACTCCTTTATTTAGACGGCTAGCATCGAACGATTTCGTTACTTATTTGCTAATATGTGGGCAGCTAAAACTATGAAAATAATTTAGATCGATGTATTTTTATATGCTGAAAAACTAAGTTTTTTTCCAATAGTTCAAAGCTACTTATTATGTTTACCTGCAGGTTTTAAAGAACCTTTGCTAATAAAAATCGATTTAGTTAGCAAACAAATTCTAAGGAAAGAGTTTAACTTTGCTTTTACCAATCAACTTGTACTCTAAATAGCAAATCTATGGCATTGGCCATAATCTCTACTTTGACAGTGAATAACGTCTTAACTATTATCAAAAATTTGCTTATAAACTTTTTTGAAGCCCATCAAATTTCCAAGCGAAATATGTAACCAGAATTATTGCAGTTGACTTAGTTTATAAGATTATTTACTAAGTACAACAAAAGGTCAATTCACATACAAATGTTCATACAAAATGTAACGGGAATTCGGCGCGCTTTCTACTTAACTTTTTTTGGTTTCATACATAGTTTTAGGACAAAACCCTTAAATATAGGGGTCGCTCGAATAATAAAACCTACTTGGGAAATAACGGACACTCTAATATGTAGAGTACGACCGAAATTCGGCTCCGTCTTCGGCCATGTTCGACCACCAAAGTTCGGTTCGGTTTCGGTTCGGCTTCTCAGAATGAAAAGAGAAATCGATTACGCCATGTCTGTCCGTTTACAAGATAACTGGAGAAAAAATTGAGATATGTCCACGAAATTTGGTAGGCAAGTTTTCCTTTATCCATATAACGGTGTTTTCGAAATATGTACGCAAAAACTACAGTGTTTCCAAAAATACTGGATCCAAATTGTTAAAACTTTGGTACGCGAAGTAGAACTTTGGGCATAAAATCAAACCTATATGCAATTTTTTGAAAATGGG